ATCTTTTATGAATGTTTGGACTAAGCATATTGCAATTCTAAAAGGGTTTGTTGGGAACAAGTAAAAAAATCAGATACGATTTGAAGTGTGGGCGAGCGCATAAAGGCTCGCGGCACGGGCGCGACGACTGGAAGTACCTATCAGTTGGGCGTGATGAACTTGCGAACCGGATGCACCTGCTCGTGCTGAAAATGTTCTAATTCAGTTTTCGCAGTGGGGCACATACTGAAAGGTATTTTTTGACACAAAAACCATTATAGCTGTCAAGAACATCTATAAATAACACATAATTTGAAATCATTCATATTTCATATTCTAAGAGTTCTTTTGCATTATTTACAAAGTTCATAAAACATCTTGTGTTTTTTGTGTTTGTTCTTATCTTGTGAATTCCCAAACTTAAGTATTGTTCGTTGAAGTCTTATTTATTTGAATTACCGCTATATACAATTCAAAAGTTGTTGAATGTCACTACAAGAAATTGTCAAAATGCCAACAAAAATTACCAACAAAAATTTTTCCGTTGGGGATTACCAACGGATTAGTAATGCATTATATATACAAGTTTTATAAACGGATTACCAATAGAAACTAACAAAATATAGCAGCGAAAATTATATCTTTGTATTCCGTTGGCAAATAGTGACGGAAATATTCCGTTAGTAAATACAAACAAAATACCAATAGAATAGCAACAAACTCTTTCAAAATTGTATTAGCAACGAATTATTTCGTTGGTAAATAGCAACGGATTTTTTCCGTTGGCAAATAGCAACGGAATAGCAACGGGCACCTTCAATATTGTATTAGCAACGGATTATTCTGTTGGTAAATAGCAACGAATTTTTTCCGTTGGCAAATAGCAACGGAATAGCAACAATTTCTTTCAAAATTATAATACCAACGGACTATTTGTTTGGTAAATAGTGAAGGATTTTTTCCGTTGGCAAATAGCAACGGACACCTTCAATATTGTATTGGCAACGGATTATTCCGTTGGTAAATAGCAACAGATTATTTCCGTTGCCAAATAGCAACGGAATAACAACAAACTCTTTCAAAATTGTAATAGCAACGGACTATTCCGTTGGTAAATAGCAACAGAATTTTTTTGTTGGCAAATAACAACGGAAAAGCAACATACACATTCAATATTGTATTAGCAACGGATTTAGCAACGGAATAGCAACAAACTCTTTCAAAATCGTATAATGTCATTATTATTATTATTTATAACACTTACAAAAGTAAAATTCTTTATATATATAATGATAAATATTTAATTTACATTAATATTATTTAGTTATGTAATTAATTTAATAATATTTAAATCAATTCAAAATAAATATGTGCCACATATGCATTCCATTCATTTTTAGAATTTGTTATATATCATATTAATTAAAATAAATCATATATATATATATATATATATATATGATTTTATGACATTGTTAAATATGTTAAGCCTAAAAGTGAAATTAGTAATTAGGCCGTATTATCGTTGAATTTTGTGATATTTTTTTTTAAATAGAGTATTGAATATTATGATAGATGATATTAAAAAATCATATATACATATATATGATTTTATAATTGTACTTATTATTTATAAAGATATTTAGATATATGATAAAATTTTATTAAAATATTTATTTTAATTTGTGAATAAAAATTTTTATAATGACACACTTTTTGAAAGGTATATGATATAATTTGTTATCAGTTAGTGCACTGTACGAGTTGTGTACTAATTTAAATAGACACATTTATGTAATTTTGCACAATTTAAATTACATATAATATTTTTAATAAATTAATATAGGTAAATTATATTACATATTTATTCCATATTTTTATTTTGTAAACATTATTTAATGAGGTAATAAATTTGAATGATAAGGTGGCCGACAAAAAATCTAGAAAATTGCGAGAATATATATATATATATATATATATATATATATATATATATATATATGATTTATTTTAATTAATATGATATATAACAAATTCTAAAAATGAATGGAATGCATATGTGGCACATATTTATTTTGAATTGATTTAAATATTATTAAATTAATTACATAACTAAATAATATTAATGTAAATTAAATATTTATCATTATATATATAAAGAATTTTACTTTTGTAAGTGTTATAAATAATAATAATAATGACATTATACGATTTTGAAAGAGTTTGTTGCTATTCCGTTGCTAAATCCGTTGCTAATACAATATTGAATGTGTATGTTGCTTTTCCGTTGTTATTTGCCAACAAAAAAATTCTGTTGCTATTTACCAACGGAATAGTCCGTTGCTATTACAATTTTGAAAGAGTTTGTTGTTATTCCGTTGCTATTTGGCAACGGAAATAATCTGTTGCTATTTACCAACGGAATAATCCGTTGCCAATACAATATTGAAGGTGTCCGTTGCTATTTGCCAACGGAAAAAATCCTTCACTATTTACCAAACAAATAGTCCGTTGGTATTATAATTTTGAAAGAAATTGTTGCTATTCCGTTGCTATTTGCCAACGGAAAAAATTCGTTGCTATTTACCAACAGAATAATCCGTTGCTAATACAATATTGAAGGTGCCCGTTGCTATTCCGTTGCTATTTGCCAACGGAAAAAATCCGTTGCTCTAGTGGTGGTGTTACCTCTTTAACATGCAAGAGGTCTTGAGTTCAAGCCCTATTGTTAGGAGAATTGTGAGAATTACTAAGGATTATATTGGTGGATGACCATGGGTCATGGTGTGCCGTGTGGTTCAAGGTGGCCATGGGCTCAAGGTGAGCCAAGTTGGATCGACAAAATTATTATTATTATTATTATTATTATTATTATTATTATTACTATTATTTTGTTTTGCTGAAAAATCCGTTGGTAATCTGTAGGGAAAAGTCCGTTGGCAATCCGTTGGGAAAAAATATGCGTTGGTAATCTGTTGGGAAAATTCCGTTAGTAATCCGTTGGGAAAAAATATTAGTTGGCAATCTGTTGGGAAAATTTCGTTAGTAATCCGTTGTAAAAATTCCGATGGTAATCCGTTAGAAAAATATCTGTTGGTAATCCGTTGGGAAAATTACGTTGGAAATCCGTTGAGAAAAATCTGTTGGTAATCCGTAAGTATATTCGTAACTAAAATGTTGGCTTTCTGTTAGTAATTTGCCAACGGAATGATTTAGCAACTACATTTTCCGTTGGGAATCTATTGACAATCTCATGAAGCATTTTCGCTGCAAATTTGTTGGTAATCCTTTGGGAATTTTCCCAACGGATTGTATTTTCTGTTGGCAAAATTTAGTAACAAGCCATATAGCAACAAGAAAATATGTTGGTAAGCCGTTGGCATTCCGTTGGGAACGGAATAATCCATTGGTAAAACTCATATTTCTTGTAGTGTGTTGAGGCGTTAGTCGTAATTCGTGGATAATAAACGAGGCTATTTCATCTTAAGGAGAGCATAATTCTATGTGCTTCAACTTTGATTCTTTTGATCGTTTTTCTTCTAACTTTAAGCCATTTTGACGTTCACAAACACTTTAATATAACACTTTTAACATAGTCATGCATAAAGTTGTTAAACAAAACGAGATACTCTAGGATTTTGCTTGGCTCGTTCGATGAACAAGCAGACTCGACTCGTTAAGGCTTGTAAATAGGAATTTTCGACTCGTTAACTTATTGGCTTTCTAAGACTCGAAAATAAAAATTTTTCAATAACATTCTATAACTCCGCTCGATTAGGCTCGAACTCGGCTTGTGAATACCGGTAAATGAGTCAAGCTCGAGCTCGTTTATCTTAACGAGTTTGAAACAATAAAGGCTCGAGCCAGATAGTTTGAGTGTTAGGAGTACGAACTTAGCTTAACTCGACTTGTTACATCCTATATCAGCCCCAAGGGATATTGTATTGATTGAATATCATTGTATAAGATTCAATTGTACATTGTTATTACTTATTAAAACTATTAAATGGTCGAGTAGAGTTAGATTCATTTAAAGCTCATTTATTGCTAACAATGGGGGCTCTACTTGATTCAATTAAGTCTCGAAAGGTAAAATTTTTATAGTTCATTTCGTTTAAGTTCAAGAGAATTATTAGTATTAATAAACGAGTCGAAACTCGTTTAGTAAACGAGTCGAACTATAGTCAGTCCATTAAAGACTCAAATTCGAGTATCGTAAGCTGGAGTTGGGCCTTACTCACCCCGAATCATTATACAAGCATATAATTGGTGGGATAAACTGTATTTTAAGCATCTTATTTTCATTTCTATTTACTTTCTTCACTAAAATTTGACATAAATACCCCCCATTCCGTGTTAGCCATTCAAAGTCGGAAAGGAAAACGTGTTGGCGTTCACCTTTTGTAACCCCGAAAAAACACCACAGCCAAAAAGTACAAAAAAGTAGATGCAAAAGAACCTCCCCTGAATTAATTACTAATAAAAAGTGTTATTATTATTTGAAAAATATATAAAAGAATACAACCACTCAATTATTTAATTTAATTATCTTCGTTTTTAAACATAATTCTCCACCTCACTCACTCCAAACATTCATTGCATCATAAAAGACAAAACATTTCAAATTGCAATTATTGTTTTTTTTTACTACTATTAAATCAATAGACAACCGTGTTATTGTATGGATATGTGTATTGATTTACTGATAAAAAATTTAACAATTGCAATAGGTGAATTTACTGTAAAGGACATAATACATCTCATAGTTAGAAAAAAATCGTGCTACCTTGCCCTCACCGAATATGATTATTATCGTTATTATTATTTATTTATTTACTTTTTTAACCGTTCTAATCGTTAAAAAAACCTAGTGAAGGCACTTAGTCCAACCTAACCTGAATTTTAGTCTCTACTACTTATTACAAGTGTCCAAGATTTTCATTATCAAAATCAAAATTCATTCTCCCTAAATAAATTCTCTCTCTAGACACTCCATCTCTTATATTTATATACACACCCATATGGATATAAATTCTCGTCATGGGCTCAAATTCTTGTTGATAATACTAATATTCGCATCAAGAAATGTTCTTTTAGCTGCGAAAATTCCAAAAATACGCGGCGGATCCAAGTACCAGATCGAATGCACGACGTGCACCTCTTGTGAAAACCCATGCACCACCCCCTCTCCGCCGCCGCCGCCGCCGGCCACCGCCACCGTCAACTGCCCTCCGCCCCCGTCCGGATCTGGCGGAAGCAACATCCCACCGCCGCCTCCGGATTCATACTACGCCACGCCGCCGCCGCCGCCCGACGGCGGAGCCGCCTACTACAACCCTCCTCCGCCGCCGTACGCCGTCGGGACGGCCCCGCCGCCGCCTGATCCAATGTGGCCCTACTTTCCTTTCTACTACCGCAACCCTCCTCCGCCACCGTCCTCATCGGCGCCGCCGCTCGAGAGAGTTCGGTTACCTAATTTCTTGGCTATCGTCACCGTGCCCCTTTATTTATTTTCTTTCGTCTTTTTCTAGTGTTTTACCTCTTTTGATTAATTTACTGGAATGCCCCTGATGATCAACAGGCGCGTCGAGAAATGTTTAGGGTATTTATGGAGTTTCACTGCCATTGTGTTCTTGATGAGTTGGGTCGTCGTTTGATCTTTTGTTATGTTCAATAATTAAGTTTATTGAAAATATTAGGGCTGTGAGGAAAATTATTATTATTGCATGCTGTTAATTTCTTGGTTCACATGGTAATCTTTGAGTTTAATTTCTCTGAAACATAATCATTTCAATGGCATTATTATCAAAACGGTGTATTATTTAAATAAATTTCTAATATTGTTTAGTAAGTCATTGGAATATGTTTTATAAATAAATAAAATAATAATTTTTATAAGTAAAAGTCAAAATTATTTAACTCATATTGTAATATTTAAATTATCAAAATACACCATCACTCAAAAAATACAAACAATATATTTATATTATGCATGTTTTCATTTTTATTTCGTTACGATATACTTCAACCAACTCTTTAAATGTCATACAATATTACTACTTACACGTTATTATATAATGCATATAATGAAACATAATCACTTTAGTATACCATTTCTAAGTTAAATTTATATATTTATTATCGATTTCGTATCCTCTATGAAAATGTGAAATTGTACGAACACGGTTTTTGTGATTATATATAGTTTAGTGGGGAGATTTACGTGGTTGAATAAATAAAACGCAGCCATTCGATATACTTTAATCTGGATGATTTCTTTTTTAATTAATAAAAGAAATATGGCCAAACAAATCACTTTTATAAAAAAGCATAGTTTTGTAGTTTTGAAACCTAGATCGGTGAGTGACCCCGGTTGGACTCTGGGCCACAGATTAAATTGTTGGATTAACGGTGAATTGTTGAACTAGATAATTAATTTTATAAAATTTTAAATTATATTTATATTATTTTTATCATATAAATCTACATAAAATAATAAAAATAAATTATTTATATTTAAATTTTATGTGGATCAAATTGGGATATGAGGAAGAAATTATTTTGAACCAAAAAAAATTCACAAAAAAGGAAAAAAGAGAGGAAAAAACAATACAAAGCTCACCCAAAAATCAAGCTCATCAAACCTCTATCTAATTGTATGCACAAATTGTTCTCGCTTTCACAAATAACTTTGTTCACTTCTCATTTCGACCCCTCAAACTATACTATATTGCTTATCATCAAGTACCGCCAAGTAATAATGATAATACAAAACATCCAAATTGTTATTCCGATATTCTTGTGGGCCCTCACCGTGCACACTCCCGCGGGCGGCGTTTGCTCCGACTGGCGTTCTCGGCGGGGTTGCATACGTGGCGGACGCCTCCAATATCTCGCGTCTCGTATTTTCTCGCTCGATAAAGTGCATCTCCACTCTTAGCACCGTTATGTAAAGGCCGGCTGCGAGAAAAACGGCCACCAGGCCGCAAACTCCACCTGCCGCGAACAGGCCCTGTTTGTTTACGAAACAATTGGGCCGGGGAGCGCCCCAATTGTTGAGATGGCCAGACTCCAGGCTGAGCCCAATAAGCAGCAGGACTTCGCCCACGGCGAATGACACCCTGGATTTAAAGTGTATATTTATTAAGGGTATTTATAATCTTGGATCTATGAATAATAATATTAAAGATAAAATTATACTAATCAACTATAAATCAATTTTATTTGTATATTTGTGAAGCCTTCATTGGAAAGATGTTAACTTTCACGGTTTATGAATGATTGTATTTATGATTTATTTTTGCATTTGGTTCTAAAATGTATAGCTATATTTATAACTTGTTATAAATAGTTTATGTATGATTTTATTAAATTTTTCAAAATTATAGTAAATATATAAAATGTCTTAATCTTATGGCCTTAAAATTCGTTTCTCGGGTATAATGTTAGATAAATATTTAAATGAAAACTCTTCCCAAGAACTAGTATTGATTTTTGTGGCATGAATTTGATTAAACATTTCATGAGAATCATACTATTTCCGTCTGCAAATATCTCAGTTCTGAAAGAGAAGCTACAATTCAGGCCTCGCACAATTTTATTTATTACAAATTTCTATTTTAATAATTAGTCTATTTCATTTTTATACTAATAATAATTTTCTTTTCACATTTCAATCCTTCTTTTTTATATTTAATACTTTAATCAAACGACATTTTTTTTAAAGGGGAAATATTACATTATCTAGTTATGTACTTATGACACTAGAATTATTATATTCACTAACATAGGAAAGAAAAACTGGGAAAAAAGTACCCTAAAATAAATATTCTTCTAACAAATTTCCCGAATCTATTTCCACCAAGTGTTGTTAAACAAACGAGCTGTTCATGAACTCGACATGATCATTAAGGTTTGAACTTCTCTTGTTTGAATCAAACGAGCTGATCTCATTTAAATCTTGTTTACTTAACGAGATGAACATTGAAAAAAACATAAATTTTATGTAATTTGTACGCTTCGACTCTTTAAGGTTCGAGTTCAGTGCGTTAAAATTAATAAATACGTGGAGCTCGAGCTCTACTCGTCTACACCTCCAATTTCACCATACGAATAGAGCATTACGGAAGAAATCATAAAATTTTCAAAAAAGTTTGTATTAAAAAAAAAATAAATAAATAAAAATATCGCGTTTTAACTTTCAATAGCATAACATACCATGTCGACACGAAGAAAAATCCAGCTTGCCAGGTCAAAGACTTGGCAATAACCGAATCCGGGTCCCATGCCACCTCGACTAGCGCATGCGACTTGGTAACCGCGACCAATAAGTACGTGTGATACACCGCCATTGCTAATGCCAGAGCAAAAAATGCTGCAGCCCCGGACAAAAGGGGCAGTTTCCCGCTGCCCGTGTACGTGCATTGAGACTCTATTCCTTTACCATCACCATTTGTTGCTGCCCAATTCACCTGCCCAAATATAGGGTCCAAAAAGCATATAGCAAAATTAGTTAATCACCCATGACATGATATTGGTAAATTCGAACTAATATGAGCCGAGTCGTGTGTCAAATTACGAAGCCACCCCTACGACTGGTAATCGATGTCCCAGTTGAGAGTTTATGGCATGCAAATATACAAATCGTTTTTGAACATTCAGTAATTTATTTATTTTTACCTCAGAACGTGTTGCCTCGGCTATAAGGGAGAGGATGAAGCAGAAAAGGCCAAGAACTATGGAAAATACAATGATAAATGCGCCGGTTTTGCTGCCGAGATCACTGCCTTTTGGGCTCGGAGCAAGATCAGCGTGTGTTACCGCCATCTTTTTTCGGGTTT